TTTTGTCTTTCTGAGACAGTCTTACTATGCAGTGAGGCTGGCCTTGAGCTCACTTTGTAGCCCAGACTGGTCTCAAACTTGCAGTGATCCTTCTGCCTCAGCCTTCTGAGTGCTGAGATTACAGGCATGCACTACCATGTCCAACCAATTTCTACCCTTAGTTTGTTTTTCAACTGAGGGTTAAAAGAAGGAAAAAAAAAAAAAAAAGCAGGTAAGTCTTAGGACTTTAGGTCACCATTAAATTTCGTTTTCTCTGTCCTTTTTCTTTCTTTTTGTAATTCATGTACCCTTCTCTGACTTAAGTAATGATTTCCTTGTGTTTTTCTGATTTCAAGCCATGAAACTGATGACTTCCCTGGTAAGAGTTGCCCTCCAGTTGAGTCTGCACAAAGACAACAATCAGCGTCAGTATGAGGCTGAAAGAAACAAAGGACTAGAACAGAGAGCACCTGAGCGGCTGGAGAGCCTCTTGGAGAAACGAAAAGAGGTGAGGAGTGCTCCCTGCTGCTTTCCTCTCTCAGCTTCCATCCCTGCTGCCTGCAGACTACCTTACCAGGCTGTGGCCTTCTCTCCATAAGCATGGGCCCCAAAGGCTTTTCAGGTCAGTGTAATGGACTTAAGTGACTTACCAAACCCATCTTTCAGGTCATTGTGTGCTCATCTTATTTCTAGAATGGGAGCTCAGAATCCTGTCTAGAGTGAATTTAGGGTTCTCGTTATCTGTATTTTTATGCAGTTTCAGTTGTCTGTATTCCTCCTCACCAGAAGTGTTTAAATGCTAGACCTGCTTGTCATGCAAGGAGTTAAGTTTTTACCTTTATAATAAGTGTACAGTGTACAGATTATCATAGGAATAGTGAAAACTAGCCACTGACCATGGAAGCCAAGTTGTCAAGGAATGGAAAAAATACAGGCCTAACATTTACTCCTTCATATGATTTCTGTTCTAGTTAGCCAACAACTAACTCCACGACCTTAAAGCAACTCCTTAAAGCTTCTTTCTTTTTCTTTAAAAAGTGTAATTCTTTTTATGAACTTAAATGAGATGTTGAGAAATTGCTTAGTCTGGCACATAGTAGGTATTTGCTTTGTTTCCCTTTAAACTTAAAGATCCTGGATGACATAAGCTTTAGGAAAATCTTTTATATTGATTAAAATTTAAACAGCTGTATCTATTGTGACTCTGAAGTTTTCTCCCTGCTCTCTGCTAGTATCTGAGGCTTCTTTGTCAGGAAGTTGCCAGTACATATCATACCTATTTCTCCAGCCCTCATAAAAGATCTTTTCTGTCCTATACCATTACAGAAGGAAACTTTCATTCCTTAATCTTCTTTTGCTATTTTTCACTCTTGGAATGATCTTAAAGGCCTGTATATTTTAATTCACAGTGATCTGTATTAATTTACAATTATCTTTGGGCTTTCTATAGTTTCAGTTAGTCATAGTTAACAAGGGTCTAAACATACATTGTTTAGATATTTTGAGAGAGAAGCCACATCCTTTCTTTTTTTTTTTTTTTTTTTTGGCGGAACCGGGGATTGAACTCAGGCCCTTGCGCTTGCCAGGGAAGAGGAGCTACATTAACATAAGTATATTGTTACAGTTTTATATTGTCAAACTCTTACTGAACCTCATTTACAAGATAAATGGAGGCTTAAAAAAATACAACCATGTATGCAATGCATTTTAGAAATTTTCAGATTTTGTTTGCTCAGTCAGTAAAGTGTGTTCTAAAATCTGAAAAATTCTGAAGTATTTGTGCTCCCAAACATTTCAGATGAGGGATACCCAATTTGTACACGCGTGCGCGCGTGTGTGTATAAGTTTTAGTATTATGTATAGTTTTAGGCATCCACTGTGAATGTAGAGATGTGGGGATATATTAGAATATAGCCTTTGTGGATAAAGAGGGATTAGTGTACAGTAGTACTGTTCTGTTTTGTCTTCTTGACTTTTGAATGATTGGTTATCATTCTGTCTTTGCTATTTTTCCCTTCCACACATACCATTTTTTCCTCCATTTATAGAGTGTATATAAGGCCTTGAGTCTTCCTTTATTCTGTTTCTCTGTGATCTAAATCTTTCCTTTCTCCTTAATAGCCAGATGAATCCTTTTACTACCTGGCTTCCATCCCCATTTCTTTATGACTTTACTTTTCAAATCCTTGACTTTCTAAGTCCTGTTCTTTTCTACCATCTCCTTTCTCTGGACTTCTGTAGAACTTGGTACTGATCATCTAGTTTCCTTCCTTTCCTTCCATTTTCTTTGTTGTGAAACATTTCAGGCATTTAGAAAAGCAGATATACTTGTTATACCGGTTACCATATAAATAGCTAGTTTTTAACAACTGATATTTTTCACTTTTTTAATGCTTCATTATAGTAAGTCATGGACCCTTCAGTCCTTCAATCTTAAATATTTAAGTATGTCCTCTAAAAACTTAACATATCCCTGTATAATTTCAGTGTAATTTTCATACCAAAAAAGTAATCATTCCTTAATATTTCCTAATTCCAGTTCATACTTAAATTTCTCCTTTGTCCCCCAGATGCCTTTTATAAATCTGATTAATTCCAACCAAAATCTTAGTAAGGACTATGCATTGCATACGTGGTTGTATTTCTTAAGCTTTATTTATTTATTTATTTATAAAAGACAAGGTCTCACTATGGTTCAGGCTAGCTTTAAATAACTTACAATGTAGCCCAGGTTGGTCTTGAATTTTCAGCAACCCTCTGGCCTCTGCCTCTGGAATGCTGGGATTATAGGTGTGCACTACCACATCCAGTCTCTTTCAATGTTATATGGAATATCATCCTCCTCCATATTTTCCTCCAACATATTGACTTAGCAAAGATATTGGACGTTTTTGTGCTTATAAATTTGCTTCTTTGATATTGTTCATCTCATCAGGGTTTCCTAGCAATGGCACTTGTTGACACTGCTGCCCTTGTAGAATGTTTAACACCATTTGTTATCTCTACTGAAGCCAGTAGTACCCTGCTACCTACTCCAATTGTGACAATCAAAAATATTTTTAGGTATTATAAAATGTCCTCTAGGGAATAAAAATGGCCCAGATAAGAACTGAATATAAAAATTCTTGATTTTTTTTTGCTAGTTCTTCCACTTTCATCAAAACACATTTATTAAAAATCATTTTCCATGGGGCTGGTGAGATGGCTCAGTGGTCTAAAGCACCTACTTAGAACAAGCTTAGCAGAGCCCAGGGACCGCGGTTCGATCCCCCAGCACCACATGCCAGCCGGCCCGCCCCCTGGTGGGCTGAGCTGGCCACACACACACACATAAATAAATAAAATTTTAAAAAAAAATCATTTTCCATATTACTATTAGTCACAAATATTTATACTATCAGTTAGATCTTCTAAGTAGAATAACCTTACACACAAGGGGATATTATTTTACCAAACTGAAATAAATGTCTGAGACATCAGTTGACTGTACCACTTCTTCTAAAATAAAATTTAAAAGGGAACATAGAATTTGGAGGTTCACACTATGTCCTGTAACAAGATAAAAATAGAAGTACTTTTTTGTATCTTTTTTGTGACTTTATGCTGACAGGATACAAGAGGTTAATCTGTTCTTCTCTGTCCTTCAGCTCCAGGAGCATCAAGAGGAGATTGAGGGAATGATGAATGCTATCTTCAGGGGTGTCTTTGTTCATAGGTACAGGTGAGTTAATAGGCTAGTTTTACTGGAGCAGCTTCTCGTTGGTTGTGGAGTCTCTAGATATGGCAAGGCCCCTCTGTAGCCCTGATTTATTTGGTTAGTCCTAGAACTAATACAGCTGGGATAAAAACTCTTAACAATGAACAATGTACATTAAGGTTTAACTTATCCCCACCTACAAAGGATCTTGTAAGCTCTTGTAGAAGAAAAAACGAGAGTTTAAGGCATTGCTGAGTATTCTTCTCCATTTTTTCCCAGGATCTAGCCAACCCTATCCCTTATTTTTCTGGGGCTGGAAAATTGAAAGGGCAAAAACGTAATAGGTTTTTTGAGATGTTTGTGTGGCTCAGCAAATCTTTTCCTAACACAACTTCCTTGTCTCACTGTGCTAAGGGAAAAGAGTTTTATATTGTTTAAAAAACTGATAGAATTGGGCTGGGCATGGTGGCACACACCTGTAATCCCAGCATTCTGGAGGCTGAGACAGAAAGATCATCATAATTGCAAGGCCAGCCTGAGATGCATAGTGAGACTGTCTCCAAAAAAGGGGTGGGGGTAGAATTAACTTTAACAGAATTTATAGTAGTTTTTCACTTTTATCTAGATTTCAGCTTCTATATTTTGAAGTCTTGTAACTGATTTAATCTTTTCTTTCTTTCTTTTTTTTTTTGTATTTAGGATAGGGTATGCAGGATGTACAGGATCTCACTGTGTAGATCGGACTCGGAGTGATCCTTCTGTTTACAGCCTCCCAAGTGCTGGGATTACAGGCATATGCCACCACACCCAGTCTTATTTGCCATCTCAGTGCGCCCCAGTGGCAGGGCTGGCATGGCAGGCCAGACGATCAAACTTCTTAATCTTTTCTTAAAGTGAAATTAAAACACATACTTTCACTCAATAGTTAAATGAACTTTCAAAATCAGTTTTTTGTAAGAGGTATAAAAGACAAGATTGTACAAGGCTGGTCCAACTAAAATATTGTTTACATTGGGAAGAAGAAATGAAAGTCATGGTAGATGGTGTCCATCAAGAAAATAACTTCTAAGGCCTGGTGGTATGTACCTGTAATCTCAACACTATGGGAGGCTGAGGCAGGCTTAAAAACTTAATGAAGCACTGTCTCAAAATGAAAAATTAAAAAGTGCTGGAGTTATAGCTTAGTGAAGGTCCTGGGTTTAATCCCCAGAATCACATAAATAAATTCTTCAGTGCACATCATATGCATTTATAGAAACATCACCCTGAATTCCATTAATGTGTACATTTAATATGTTAATAAAAGTTATATAAAAAAAGTCTTTAGGGAAAGAGGACTACTTAGTAGGATGGGAATGAGTTTGGAGAGAAAGTGATAGTTTATGTCTCTATCCAGGGACATCCTTCCTGAAATCCGAGCTATCTGCATTGAGGAGATTGGATGCTGGATGCAAAGCTACAGTACCTCTTTCCTCACTGACAGCTACTTAAAGTATATTGGCTGGACCCTGCATGATAAGGTGAGAGCCAGATCTGTCTCTGTTTACCTGTTCCCCTCATTGTCTCTACTCAAGGACACTTCAGCTTTTCCTGGTCCTAAGGACCCTTCAGTCTTTCCTGTCCTGCCACTTAGACATTTCACATAGGGAACAGTGATCAAGTCATCAAGGCATGAACCTTGAAACTCCTCCCATACTGGGAATGGTAGGATAAGGTAGAGGAGAGAAAGACACATACAGGAGATGAAATGCCTTCAAAGCTGAGAAACAGAAAAAACATTCTCCATTAAAACGCAAAACAATCTTTGCAGGATTGGTGATAACACAAATACTAAGACTGGTAGTCAGAGAGCCTTTTTCTCATGCTTACTCAATTTTGTGATTTCATTTGTGTTTTGAATCAGAGGGCAGCTGTTTATGTTTCTTCCATCTCAGAAGTTTCCGTGTTAAGAGCACCCAGACCTAGAATGAGGAATCTGCAAGAAGTATACAGCATCTCAGTGAGATGAGCGGTGGGTCATGTTCCCTTCTCCTGTTTGTTCCTCCTTGACAGAACCGGGATGTCCGTCTGACATGCCTGAAAGCTCTGCAAGGGTTGTACAGCAACCCAGAGTTGACTGCTCGCCTGGAACTGTTCACCAGCCGCTTCAAGGTATGATGGGGACAGTGTGCCTGTACTTGGCTTCTTGCATTGAGGTTCCTCTTTCCCCACTGCATTTCTTTTGTTGTTGTTGCTCTATCCCTGCATCCTCTCTTTAGAGTCTCAAATTATAGGAGAATGTGATTTTTACAATGGCCTCAGTGAGATACAGAGTGATGCTCTCCTGACAGGACCGGATGGTTTCCATGGTCATGGACAGAGAGTACGATGTAGCAGTGGAGGCCATCAGGTTGCTGATCCTAATCCTGAGGTGAGTTTTGACAAGTGGGGAGGTCGCAGGCAGGATCTGTCAGAGTCCTGTCCCCAACTATCACAGATTGGTTCTTTCTCATGTGCAGGTTGAAAGACAAAGATCACGTCCAAGTTACGGGATCTCAAGGGGGAATCTTTCTTGTCTTTTCTAACTCTTCACACTCCTTTATCCTCTACTCTTCATTTAAAAGTTCTCTGTGAGTCATATCCTTGTTTTTACTTCAAACCCTGATTGTTCTGGAAGATAGC